TCTTTATTCAAACACTTGTAATATATAATAAAGGTACTTCAATGTGTTCAAGAAAAACATCTTATAAAAAAACTAATTTTTCTATTTCTGAGTTGTCTCCATTAGCAAAGATATATTCTTCTTTAATCATAGAAAGAGATGAATTTTGTCAGAAGTAAAGTAATTACAAAATTCTTCAGGTTATCAGTAAAATCCTCACTCTTTTCTTTGAAAACTTTGACCTCCTTATCATATTTCTGCTAGAAACCTGACAAAACTCTCTCATGCGCAACCATAGCTCTGTTCAGACTGTTTAATGCCCCATCTCAAATAAGCTGCCCGTTCAAAGTCTCTACTGTGGGCTCAGCAGTCTGCAGGCTTTTCACTGCCTGGAATGATATCATAATAAAATATAATGAAAATATGCAAATCAATAACCCAATTTTCTGTCGCTAGTATGTCATATGGTTATGAAAAAATACCAATTTTATAAATAATGGCTATTCACTTTCAGTTGCGAAATGTTTGTTGTGGTTTTATAACAAATTTCATTGCTTCCAATGCTCAATCCTTCAATTTATTAATTTTAAGCAAGACAGAGACACCAGTACATAATAAACCCATTTTGTTCAATCTCCTTGTAGTATGATTAGCCACTGATATTTTCATCGAAGATCTTGATTGTCATTGACTTAAAGCTAAAATCAAAAATAATTGAAAGGTTGTGACTGTACACACTTAAATGCTTAATCAATTAATTGATAATGTAGAAATCGAAACATGAAATAATTGCAAACTAATCGAGTTACTTCTAACACTTTTATATCTAGGTTTGGGTTTTGATAACATAATTAATATATGTTTTAAGAGGCACCATTGCTAATCATAACTATACACACGCAGTACAGTTAAGGCAACATTTTCTATAAAAACTCACGGAATCCGATACAATTTATGTTTATCAATTTTATTTTTTAGCAAGGCACTCTAGTTAAAATAGCTGTTTGTTATCTTGAAGAGTATGTCCATCGCTTTTCAGATCGGTATTTTTTGATATCATGTGACCCCCTGAAGTCACGTGGGCTCCGATTTTAGGTCAAAATAGGAGATGTCAAATTTAACCAAAAAGCGCAAGGGCAAGGCAAACAAAAAATTAACTCCACAATGTTTTATGTTGTCCCTATATATCTATACTTTCTGAAAAGTGATGCTCATTCAGTTAGTTTTCCGATGTTATTAAGTTATTCAGCTAAAACAGACAGTATTGTATTAAAAATAGGATGTTTTCTTAATTTCATCGTGAATTATAAATTAACTAAAGGATTACAAAGAAATGAGCATCACTTTTTGAAAACTATGCAATAAAATAAATCATTTAAAATATAAACCTACTTTTTAAATTGTCGCCTTGCCCTTGCACTTTTTGATTTAAAAATCAAAATCTTGGAAGAGCAATCTAATTATAGTTTTCAAACGCATCATTGACCCAGCATGGGAGATAACTCTTGAGTACTTGAAATAGTTTGTTTACCTCGTAAATTTTAATAAATATACATGCGGACAGGGATGGACTCTTTTTTTACTAAATCAAAACGGTATGCATAAAATCCTTGACATTTCTTCCTATTTTGTGTATTCGTTCTCGATACATTATACACATTTACTGTATGCTAAAAGACGTCTTTCAAACCTCCCGCATTTCCTCAAAGAGGTGTATATACATGACATGTAACAGTTACATGTAGTATTACACACACATAGGTCTAAATTATATTGCCGCTATATTCATGTAGAACACAAATGGTTAATTAAAATATAGCCTACGCCATTTATAATAAATTAATTATAGATATCTATACCCCTCTCTCACTCATAACGTTATTCGTCGGAACAGGGGGGGGGGGGCTAAGCCTCGCTACTTATTTGCAAATTATATTACATAATATAGGCATTGGAATTTACCTTTTTCTGTTGGTTTAGGCCCCCTTTTCATTTTGCTTCCGACGCCTATGGTACACACACTAAGTCTTGTGTTAATAATTTTTCTTTTCTTTCTGCATACGAGATCATGAGGGGGAGAGGCTGGCAGATTTTAGAAATAAATACTTGCAGATCAGTGATCTCCTCTTCCCAAGAATCAGAGTTTTTAATTTTTTTTTTTTTTTTTTGCTTGTTAGACTTTTCAATGAAGAGGAAAATAAATAAATAATCTGTCCTTCATCTTATTGATCGGAAATAAATACAAAAGTCATTTATTAATCTGTCCTTCATTGACATGAAAATGAAAAAAATCCGACTTGGAAAAACTTGCCCCCCCCCCCTCCTCCTTCCCTCAGAATCAAATGGTGGTCCCCTATCCTATTTTGAATCAATTAGGGGGAATCTCTTGTCTCCTGTTTTTTTTTGGTAATATTATTGAAAAATAAATGAACACAATGTACATGCTGGAAATAAGATCTTGATGGATATCAGTACCCTCCACACAAAATATGTATGCAAGTTAAGATTTTCAAATTTTTATGGCCTTTTCAACACCTGTACAGTAAATAAATGAAAAAATGAAATCATTATTTACAGACCCTGAGACGTGCTACTACCCCAAAAAAGCGTGTGGCTTTCGTGCGCTTTCCGTTTCGTGCAAACCGTGTGGCGTTTCGTGTAAACCGTGCAGCGTTTCGTGCAAACCGTGTAGCGTTTCGTGTAAACCGTGCAGCGTTTCGTGTAAGCTCCAAAGCGTTTCGTGCAAACCGTGTAGCGAGCGTGCGAAAAGCGTGTGAGAAACGTGCGACTTTCGTGTAAGAACCGTGTGAGAAACGTGCGACTTTCGTGCAAGAATCGTGTAAGATTCATTCGGAAGTCATTTCATTTTAAATATGGCTATCGATGGGTCAGGATGTAAAATTCTATTAGTATTTTATAATTGAATTAGTTATGCTTGTGATATTATAGGAGTAAAAACAAAAAAAAAAATGGAACAACAAAATGAAATTCAACGGTAATGTATGATTTTTATTTGTTTGATTTCTTTTCCTTCTATAGAAAATGTGTTCAAATAAATCAACTATGTACAACAATTTTAAGGGCATTGTATTCAACATACTACATGTATCAACGCGATCGTGGCTTCTTAAATATTTTTTCTCAAAGAAAGAAAGAAATACCGGTAATATATATTTTTTTTAATTTAAATCAAAAATATATCAGGACTCCGCTCTTGTCTTTACATTTGAAACGATGTGTCATTTAATATCTATTAATACATAAAACTTGTATTATAAAATTAAAAATTATAAAATCCATTTTTTTGACAATTATGATTATTGTCAAAAAAATGGATTTTATAATTTTAATTCACATGCACTGACGACCATATCTTTATAAACAAGGGAGGGGGGTGTTAAATTAAATTACTAGTACAGTTTTTCATTTTTTGTTGTAGCTTTCAATCTTATGTTAGTTTAATTAAATGCTTAATTTTCTATTCTTGTTTAAATTCGTTGTTAAATGTATGCGCAGATACACCCCTTATAAATGTATTGGAATCTTCTTTCCGCCTTTCAACTGTGATCAAGGTCATTTACAACAGCGATCACGGGCTCCGAGTGCATTGCAAATGAAAACCTGTTTTGCTATATGTACATGTTGAGTTCACGGCTAAATGACACCTGGAAATTACGACTGGATTTTATTTTTTTTTTTTAATAAAATGGTTCTATAAATATTTGATGGGTACAACTTATAAATCAGCGGATTTCATCTTTTAATTGTAAATCCGAATTTCTAGCCGTAAACAGTAAAATAAACAGTACTGATTTGGTAGTCTTTTTATGAATATCATGTAAGAAAAGTTTAGGAGTAAATCATGAATAATTGTATATTATTTGTTTAATAAATCACGTACTTTCTTAGAATGTATAAGTTCATCTAAGATATTTCAGTTTCCTTGTAATATACCTGAATGCCGGTGTAAAGATCGATCTATATTGTATGTACAATGTATAGTCAAATGCCGCGACTATTAATAAATGTACACATATAAACATACGTTTAGTCCTGTTTTGAAATGAAGGATTTTACAGTATGATGGGTATACTGATGTTATTTGATAAGCTTCATGTAAAAAGAGAACGAGAATAGAATAGATTAATAGATCACATTCCCCCCTCCCCCCTTTACCGGTTTCCCTCCTATTGATAATGCTTGCGTAAAAAAAAATCTTTAAAAATGTATCAATAATCGTTAGTAGAGTATATAGGCAAATTTAATTTCTAATTTAAAATCAAAATCACAAAAAATAATCCGCCTACGGAAATCAAACACATGCAATATAATCAATATTATTAAAAATCAATGAGTTTATATTCCTGCGGTGAGAAATCGAATTTGTGTTAAATTTATTAAATCAATTCATCAAATTATACTCGTAAAAATATTACATTGAAATGAATGACTAATACCTGTATATAATAATTGTATTTTATTAAACAGTCATTTACGATATCGGCATTTCGTTTTTAAACAGTTGGATAAATAAATAAATAAATTCGAACTGACAATTATTTATCAATTAATTACAACTGTCAGAGTATTAAATATTTCTATCGGTTTTTATAACTGTATAATACAAGTGTACTAAATTTAATTTAAACAGCTGCTTAATGCGACTTTTTGAGCGATTTTCATTGAATTAATGATAAAGCGGTAAAAATGCCCGAGATATTCCGAAAAGAAAAATCCAAACCGAGGCCAAACCGTGCGAGAATCGTGCACAAAGCGTGTGAGAAACGTGTACAAAGCGTTTCGTGCAGCCTTTCGTGTAAACCGTGCAGCCTTTTGTGCAATGCGTTTCGTGTAAACCATGTAGCGTTTCGTGCAAACCGTGTAGCGTTTCGTGTAAACCGTGCAGCGTTTCGTGCAAACTGTGTAGCGTTCGTGTACCGTTCGTGCAGCGAGCGTGTGGGGTAGTAGCACGTCTCAGGGTCTGTATCTACAAAATTTATTTAATAGACATTTCTTTACAAATCCAATGACAGACTGTAGGAATGCTGGGCAGGTGCAAATTATTTCCATCACTTCATGTTCTTGTGGATAAAATGAATTCTGAAAATATAAGAAAATCAGAAAATACCATTATTGAAAGTAATTTGTGTTTAAAAAGGTGAAATAAAAAAAATGCATTGAAACATTTAACATAGAATGCATATACATGTTTTCAATTATTCTGTTAGTTTTTAATCATTTTCAAAACAATTCAATAATCCTGCTAGGAATATTGTATAGTTTATAGCTAATACTTAGCATACCATTTTCCTTAAATGATGGATTAACTTGCTGCCTGAATGAATCCATTAGTCCAACATTTGGGAATAGCTAGGCCTACAACACAATATATATGCAGTTATATGCTATGAGATTACTAAATATACATTGTAGAATAAAATGGCATCACATCTGACAAAACAAATTATTTTACATTTTATACTGTTGTGAATTTATGTATTCATGTAAATGGCAAAAAAATTGTGTTACAAAACAAAAAGTGAAACCTCTGACATTTACAACAGTTATTGATAGAATATTTTCTAAACAAAATTCTGAGTTTCACTTTTACCAAAATGAAAAAAAAACACAACAAAATTATATAACATGCACATGCATACTTTAAAAATGTGAAATGCTTTAGAAGTGTACATACCCAGTGGAGAAATGATGCATTTTTTATCTATTCATTCTTTAAGCCTGAAACTCTGGACGGCTACAATGATAAAAGTATTATATAAATATTTTATTGTACATGTAATCTAAACAAAAAAATGAATATATATATATATATATATATTTTGGAATTCATTAATTTAGAAATTCTAGATTATTACAACCAAAGATCTGAAGGTTTTATGTTTTCAACATAATTATACTGATTTTTTTTTTAATTGTGTAGCATGTTTGTATGTCAAAAGACAAGGCCTAGTCACTGGTGAATCATTGACTGAAACAATGAAACATCTCATTTAATTTAGTTTAAAGAGGAAGGTATGGTTTCCATACAACTTTTGCCCTGTGATTTTCTAAAAAATGAAACCGGTGTAAAAGTTGAAAACTCATGCTTTTTAAATAATTGAAATTCAATGCAGAAAAATCATACAAGTCATTTTTCTCACACGTGTTTTCAAATGCTAATTATGACGTCATAAAATGTGTATTTTCCCGTATTTTCTTAAAAAGTTGCAGAAGACACCAATTTTCAATTGAATTTTCTTTCAGAAAACATTGTCCACAGGCATCGCCCACAAAGATCTTGAAATATGTGATTTGTTATTGAATTTTGCACAAAATATCAAAAAATTAACGTGGGCGACGGCTGTGGACACTGTTTTCTAAAGGAAAATCACCCTTGAAATGTGCCATTTTGAGGCTTTTTCTGTTTAGTTGAAAATAGAGAAATGCTTCACATTAATGACGTCATATTTGCAGAATGGTAAACCTTCACGCCATATTCTTTCCTGATTTATCAGAGTCATTTATTTAACTAATATTTAAGCCAGTTTCAAAACTTTTTGATGTCATTACATTTTTAGGGCGCAACATAGCTAAAACCATACCTTCTTCTTTGTGTTATTGATGACCTCCATTACTACACATATTGTCTCAAAGAAAATGAGCTAATTGACAGGAACTCGATCAATACATACATGTATTTATTGCAGTTAAATTTCAATAATTCTAAAAAGTGTGCAACTTAGTAGGGGGGGGGGGCTGTTACACACAAGGCAATGCAATACAATTTTTCACTGACTGTGATAAATAATACATCTAAATGAACATGCACTTACTCGGGGTTTTTCTTTGATGTTGATAAAAGCATGTATACATATTGTAGATCTATACATGTACCTACATAAGCGCATACATACCTGGCCTGGAATATTACAGTGATGGATCTACGGAGCTGCTGCAGATCGTCTCAGTTTTCCGATATTTTCTGAAATAATGTTCTCATATTCTCGTAAAAGGGAGAAGCGATGGCTTGTCTCTTATTTTATCCCCATTTTCTTTAAAGATTGTGTGGTTATTGCATTTAAATCCACTGCAAATCTCAGCTGATGTCGCCACGTTTTTTAGATGTAAACAACATTCCGTGTCACCGCGTGCAAGCGCTTGACTGAAGCCGAATGCAGACAAACGACACATTAAAAAGAGAATTATCTTAAAGACATGCTATTTTACATACGAGAAAATCACTAATTATTTTCCATTTAAACATGAAAATATTGCTGTTTGTTACAAATTCTTGCAAATATCGGTAAATAATTATTTTGAGCACTATTTCCTTATATGGATCAATCAGGGCGGAGCAACTGTCATGACGTCAGACCTCATTATGACTTCATTACCATATTTTTTTCATGTGTTGCCTTAACTGTACTGCGCATAGCAATTGATTAGTTTGTTTACTTAATACCCACATGCAGGGTAGGGGAACAAAAAATGTATTTCAACTAATCAATAATATTCAGCAATAATCAGAAGCGCCCCTACCACACATGAACCCCTCACAGGTTTAAATATTGCAAAATCTTTGAAAAGGCACACTTGCTTATCAAAAATGTTAGATTAATACCAAGGAGCAGATTTCAAACAATTCATTTTCAGAATATAAGTAGAGCCTCCCTTCTTTGGTATTCCTGACCAAGGGGCTTTGAAATTCACAATTTTGGTAGAGGCACACTTTCTCATTATAATAAATCACATCAACAAAATCACGTCGGCGCAAGGGTATATCCTATCTAATTTAAAATAAACAATGTATAATATTAAGGAGAGTATTCTTACAATTATTAAAATTGCTGCACAAATCCTATGCACTTTTCCGATCTATAAAAATTACACTGGACTGTGAATTTTTACCCTGTTTAAACTTAAAACTGCACGACTAGTAATTAAACAATTGCAGTGCTGACATCTGTGCAGCAATATCTTAAATCCTTAGAATATCCTGCGTATTTTATACATTGATTCTGTAAAACTAAGTAAGGTATGCACTTGCGCCAAAGCGATTTTGTTGATGTTTATTATAAACTTGTGTAGTAGAGGTCGATGACGTCATAATATGACGTCATAATGTGTACTGTCGTGGGTAATAAGAATGTATTAGAAAACAAGTCTTAACATTTTCTGTGCGGTATATAGAGCAATTCTGGACTTTAATTAATATTTTCCATAAAAACCTCCATATGTAGCCTTAACTCACTTGCGTAGATGTAATGTATTTTCACTATATAATCATTATAGAGCTGTGCCCTAACACCAGAAACCCAGACCCAGGGGCAATACAATTTACAATTTTGAAAGAGGCTCTCTTGTTCATCACAACTATGTACCTAGTAAGTTTATTTGATACCTGGAAACAGAGAAGAAGATTTTCAAAGAATAAATGCATTTTCACTATGTAATCAATAGCCCCATCCTAACACCAAAACCCCTGACCCTGGGGCAATTAAATTCACAATTTTGAAAATGGCACTCTTGCTCATCGTAACTATTTACTTAGTTTGCTTATTTAATATCCAGAAGCAGAAAAGGAGATTTTCAAAGAAATAATGCATTTTCACAATATAATCAATAGAGCCCCGCCTGAACACCAGAACCCCTCACCCTGAGGCCATAAAATTCACAATTGGGGTAGAGGACTCATTTCTGATTACACTCATTTTAAATTCGAGGAGTTAAGAAGAAGTTTTTAAAGACTGCACTAATATAAGTGGTTTTGAACTACCCTTCAGGCCCCAGGGGGGGGGGGGGGGCATGAAATTCACAACTTTTGTTACTCTTCACCCATAGAAACCATATGGCAAACTATTGTTGAATTTGGTTCACTCGTTTCAGAGAAGAAGCTGAAAATGTTTAAATGCAAACGCAAGACGCACATCGCACGACGAACGACGACGGACGAAAACGGATAGCAATAGGTAACCTGAGGTGAGCTAAAAATATAAGCAAACCAATTTTAATAATTTCAACTTAGCAGCACTTGAACATTCTCGATTAATTATCATAAATTTTGGGTGCACTTAATTATATAATAGAAGAACACGTCATATAATATTTTTAAAAAACCTCTATATGTTTATTCATAATATTTAAAAAAAATAAATCCATATGCTAAATAATCCAAACACACAAACAAATTTAAATTAATCATTCCAATAGAAAAAAGACGAAAAAGAAATTTGCAGATAAATTGAACAGAGTATTTTTAAAGGTCCTATTTGTGCATGACTAACTATTGTTCCTTTATAATGTTTATCTATAAAGCTGTGATGGTGACCCAACTTAAAACTTTCAATTGAATATTTAAATCACCCGATAACACAAGGAAACAAACTGTATATTGATCCTAAAAATTTATTAGGCAATCTTAAAACGGAAGTAAAAAAACAAAATTATGGAGAATTGACAGGAAATAGTGAGTATGAGATTGAGTCTTTCTAATACTTTTTTTATGAAATCAACATTACCAATAAGATGCTGAAACTATAATCAGATTTTTTTTAATTCCTAAGTATAATGATTTGTTAAGTTTGTGAGTTTGTATAATTGACTTGCGTACAACAAGCATCTCAAATGATGTATGCACATGCATCAACATCAGAATTAAATCTAATATGAAATTCACTGATTATATCAATACTGTGTACTTCAACCTACACGTAAATTTAGTTTTATTTTAATCTCAGATTACAGTAGATATGGCTACCGCCCAGGGACAGGATATTATCCGGTGTCAACTGTGCTCAAACCCTGTAGAACATCACTGTAATCTTTGTCACGTTGAACTCTGCCTATCATGCATACCAAAACACATGGCCGACAAATCAAGAAGACATGAAGTTGTAGAGTACACTTTCAGAAAAGAACACTCGGTTATTCTTCCATCTTGTCTGATACACAAAAAATACCAGTGTGAGACGTATTGCAAAAACTGTGAAATACCAATATGTCTTCAATGCCTAATGGATTCACATAAGAAGCATGAGTTTACCAATATCAATTATATTATTCAAGAACATAAACAGAATATTATTTCTGACACAGAAGAACTGGAAAATACAATTGATCCAAAATACAGAAACATCAATCTACTTACAACTGCTGAGTTTGACAAAGTTCTCTCCGCCATTAAAGAACAAGAAGATAAAATCTGTAAAGCTGTACGTAAAAAAAGCATTCAGCTCACAGAAGAAGTAAGCAATCAAAAGAAAGAAGCTACAAGAAAGATCAAAGAAAGCCAGTCTTCAACAGAAAAAAATGCAAAAGAAGTCAATCAAATTGTAAAAAGAAATAAAGATCTTCTTAAAGCTAATGATGCCACAGCCATTCTTAACTATCAGTCAAGGAATGAGGATTTCCGAAAAAGCCCAGAATTACCAATTTTTTCTTGTCCAAAGTTACTCCCTGGTATTATTAAAGAAAACAAAATTGTAGAACTGTTCGGTTTTCTTCAGACTAGAAATGAAGGACAGAAAAAGCCTGGAATGCTGAAAATGATGGAAGAGCCTGTAGTACTAGGCACCATACAAAGTCCTTATGGTCATGGGGATAAGCTATGGAGAGTGCAGTGTGTGGGGAGAAATAAGATCTTGATCAGTGGAAATGACAAAACAATCAAAAAAATAGACAGGATTGGGATTATTCTACAAACAATTAAAACAAATGATTATGTGTTGGCATTAACCATTAATTTACAACAGGAACCAGTGTTTTCGGTAATGTTCACTCAAAAAAAGACCAAAATTTATATGCATAATAATGACAAAGTAAAGGTACTGCTAAGCACACCTGGATGGTTTTCAGTTGGTCTATGTTTTACAATGAATGGAGATCTACTAGTGAGCATGCGTACTAATGATCATGAACAAAGTAGAGTAGTGAGATATTTAGAGACCAAAACAATTCAGAGTATCCAGTATGAGAGTCAGGGACAACCTCTGTTTTCTACTGTTAGTACAGCTGTGCTTCTCCTGGCTGAGAATGGTAATGGTGACATTTGTGTTGCTGACAATGCTGGGAAGGCTGTTGTTGTTGTGGATTCTTCTGGAAGATTAAGATTCAAGTATACAGGCAACCTCTCCAAACAATCAAAGTACAGAGAGTTTAAACCATCTAAAATTGCCGCTGATGTCAATATGCAAATACTGATAAATGACAACTCAAACGACATTGTCAACATTATAGACTGTAATGGTAACTTTATATGTTATATAGAACATCCATGTAATGGAGGACTCAGCATTGATTCAGATCAAAATCTTGTGATTGGAGACCAAGATACTGGAATCATTCAAATCATCAAATATCTAGAGTGAAGAACAGTATAGATGATTACATTCAAGACATCATCATATTTCCTTTGAAAGTGCACAGTTTTTCCTTTCTGAAAAAGAAGCCAAGAGTTAAAAACAATGTTTGACTCAGAGATTTTATTATTCAAGTCTTTTAAGTGCTTTAGGAAGTAGCTGCATTGTGTTCTATGTTAAAATAAACCTTGAATTTATTCAATATCAATTAACCCAAAAATGTTAAATGTGATTTTAATACATGTTCATATTTAGAATGTAATGCTGTAGTATCATTAGAAAACTTTTGAACAAGGCTCCAAAATGAAAAATGAAACAAGAAGCCCATTGGCCACATTCCTAGCTTTAGTAAATATGGCCATTTATCTTCTTTTCCAGATTCCCTACCCCTTTGTCATACCTACTTTGACTCCATCCTACCTCTGTGGGTCATGATTTGATCAAATTAGAATCTACACTATTCCAGGATGCCTTCACCTAACTCTCATTTTTTTCTGGTCAGGTAGTTCTTAGAAAAAAGATTTTTTTTATTTCCTATATAAGTCCCTGAAACTAAACTACTCCAGGTTACTTCAACATAAGTTTCAGCTTTTCTGGCCCAATGGTTCTTGAGAGAAAGATTTTTTAATGGCCCACTATTTTTTTCTTTTCTTGATTTGCTCCCTTTGAGGGAGTACTTGGCGCTTCAATTTTTACCATTAAATCCCCTTCCACCAAAAGATGCTTTGTAGGGCCTCCACTCATTCACTATGCACCTCCTCTTTCCCCTTTTGTAGGGCCTCCACTCATTCACTATGTACCTCCTCTTTCCCCCCTTTGTAAGGCCTTCACTCCTTCACTACCGACCTTATCTTTTCCCCTTTGAAGAGCCTCCACTCATTCTCTACCTCCTCTTTCCCCCCCTTTGAAGGGCCTCCGCCTGACTCTCGGTGACCTGGATTTTCCCCTTCAGCTGGGCATTCTCTGTCTTTACCTCCATCAGAAGATCCTGACATTGTTTGAGACTGGTGGAGGCCCCGTCCTTCTCACCTGAATAAAAAAACATTAATTGATAACTTTCATACATGTGTCATTGTTGGACACTCAATCTGGCATATACTTATCGAATTAAAAAAAAATGTATGCGAGGTTTACTATATATTCCAAACAATGTTTATCTTAATTCATATATTATAACAGCTTGTGTAACCGTTGACTGCATGCAATTTTTTAAGTTCTTCACAGCTTGAGTTTTGTAACATACTGTGGTTTCAATAATTTTCGCTGGCATCAATTTACATGGATTTTGTAAAACATACGTTTTGAGGATACGTAATTTCGTAAACAAAAGCATTGCCTATACAAATGAAAACAAATCTCTTGATTCAAGAACTTTCAATATTGTGGATCTGCCTAAGAATGCTTTCCTCTAAAATTGGTTCGCAACGGATATAAATGAAACCAGAGTATACAAAAAAAATTCCCCGAAAAACAAATTAAAATGGCGGTGGTGATGTGTTTTGGTTTTATATTACGTATTTAACATATATTTTTGTTGGCTATGTTTTTTATCTAAGCTATAGTGCAAGTTTTATTCATAATAATCAGTTTGTAAATCATTCTTTTAATGAAGTGTATTTAGTGTGTGTGTGTGTGTGTTAAGATATCCGATCCATAAAAGGACATAATTTTCTAACATTTAATAACCATATTGAATTAAAAAAGCTAATTCAAAACAGTTTAGAATAGAAAAGGATTTACCAAGAGAATTTTTATAAATTTATAATCACCAGAACAGTAAATAATTAATGAAGAATGCATTGAGGTCTACTGGGTCTAGGACGTTTTCGAAAAAAAAAACAAATAACATCACAAAATGTTATGGTGGGTAGATGCATTATGATTATTAAGAAAAAAAAACGATTGAAAACGTTTTTAATATCAAAAATGTTTTTTCTAGAAATGATTTTTTTATAAAATGCAAAGAGGTATAACTCTTCAAGGACAGGGAATGGTAAAAAATATGCACACATTCCACTCTTACAAATTGATACTAAAACATAAACATTATGTCTACATGTACAGATTTTTCAGTCAAAATATCCTTAATGAATTCGAATTTATTGAATCTATCTAATTAACTCGGGGAACACAGTCATGACACCTAATGTCTTTTCATCGACCGCTATACTTTGTTTATTTTGTGGCAGAGCGACCGTAAACTTTTGCAGCTGTTTGAAATAACATTTTTGATTTGTATGAGAACCTATTTTTTTTAATCAAAACAAAATAAACGTATCAAAGAAACTAATGATGGGTAAAGATTGTGCATAATGAGACGATTATTTAGATATTCATCATTGAAGTAAAATACGTTTTAATATGTTTTAATATGCTTCAAATATACATAGACACATATTTTATCGTAAGTCGGTTTAAATAGAATAAGCCAAAGAAATGTCATTTTCAGGTATACATATTGTGATTTAATTTGTTTGTATCGTCAATTTTGAAATATAAAAAAGGGGTTTTTTTTATAATGATATAATACTTGCAGTTAAGAAGTTTATTTATTTTTCTTAATTTACTATTCATTGAAGTCTTCCGTTTCCAACGGAAAACCTTCTACTGATTCTGTTGGTAAAGATTATTATTCTTTTTTTTTCTGCTTCCTAGACCGCAACTTTGAGGCCTCATATCTCACTCATTTTTCAACGGATTTCGCTCAAATTTTCAGAGGATATAGACATTTATAAACTCTATCAGAATGCTGACTAAAATTTCAAAAAGTCACTTCCGGTTTTGAGTTATTTCCCTTTAAACGAAAATTTATAGGCTTTTGTTTCCAGACAAAGGCTCAGAGACGGATAAAGCTGGAGCAGAAGTTCTACTGATTTTAAATAATTAAAGGATTGAAGTTGTGCACATCGGTTTTTGTTTTTCGATTTCTCTATTTAAAATGACGCTATATAGGGGTCAAAAATTAGAACGCTTAAAAGAACCAAAAATTACGCATATTTTGCCTTTTATCTTCTAAACTAAAAATATTTTGTTAAAATATATAGAAAATAATTTGTGTAAAATTAATAGATCTTTTAAATGATATGTCGGAAAAAGGGCTGACCCCTAAATTAAGGGATCTAGAGGGGCCAAAAGTTTTTTCCAGATATCTCAAAAAGCATTGAGAATTTGTTATACATCAAAATAGCAAAGTTGTTGAAATGGTCAAGCTTAATCTAATGGAGTCGTCAAAATACGTCCAGCGTCGTCACTTTCGGCCAAACCGGAAGTAGTCGGAAAACGCGTATTTTTGACAAGTTTTTGGGTAACATATGTCTCTGGGAGCTTAAAAATTAATTTTTCGTGCGTCGTCGTCACTTCCGGTCAAGCCGGAAGTAGCAAAAAAAGGCTTATTTTTGCATGAATTAACATAGCTTTAAAGGATTCAAAGCAATTTGGGCGTTATTTCTCATTTGTGTTAAAAATGAAAATACTTCCTGTCAAGCAGGACGGAAGACCTACTCGTTGCTTTGCAACGAGCTTTGCTATAGTTAAAAATCAATTATTGTATTCCTTTTAAAAAATAAAATAATCCAAAATGCAACAGTACCCCTGCAGTTTTGTTTTGTTTCGTTTCTTTTTTTTTTACAAAAGGTACAGAATCACTTCATTATTTAATGAAAAAAAAAACAGATTACAGCGAAAAAAAATGCAAGGAAAATAAATGAATAAAATAAATGAAAAATACCAAAAAAAATTATAACAATATCAATCTATTTATATATTTATTTTTTTAATTTAAACTACAACTAATTAATCATTTGTATCCCCAAGAATTTGTTTTTTTAACTTTATTTTACATAAACAGTTGCAAATTAAAATGTGCTACAAAGTATTTTATTAGCATATCAAAACAACTTTTTATTATTTTAAGTCCATGATGTATATCAAAATAATCGTCTGATAATGCACAATATTAATCTGTGAATTAGATTTTTGATACTTTGTTTTAATTGAAAAAAAAAACGGTTTTCAAAACCCTAACACGCTTCTGAGAGAACATCAAAGCCATTGATGTTTACCAGTAATTAACTCTGGGTATGCTGTCATGACACCTATTATCTTTTTTAGCCCACCTAAGCCGAAGGCTAAAGTGAGCTTTTCTGATCAAAATTTGTCCGTCGTCTGCCGTTGTTGTCGTCGTTGTCGTCGTCGTTGTCGCAGTTTTTTACATTTTCATCTTCTTCTACAGGACCACTAGACCAGTTTCAACCAAACTTGGCACAAAGTAACTTTGGGTGAAGGGGAATCAAGTTTGTTCAAATGAAGGGCAACGCCCATTTCTCAGGGGAGATAATTATGAAATAGAGAAAAATTAATGGCATTTTTAAAGAATCTTCTTCTCAAGAACCACAAGGTCAGGAAAGATGAAACTCATATGGAATCATCCTCAGGTAGTGTAGATTCAAGTTCGTTCATATTATGACCCCCAGGGGTAGGGTGGGGTCAAAATGGCCGATCAAAGTTTTACATAGGAATATATCGGAAAAATCTTTTTCTCAAGAACTACTGGGCCATGAAAGATGAAACTCATGTGGAATCATCCTCAGGTAGTGTAGATTCAAGTTTTTTTTTTTTCAAAACATGACCTCCAGGGGTAAGATGGGGCCAAAATGGCCGATCAAAGTTTTACATAGGAATATATAGGAAAATCTTTAAAAATCTTCTTCTCAAGAACCACTGGGCCAGTAAAGATGAAACTCATGTGGAATCATCCTCAGGCATTGTAGATTCTAGTTTGTTCAAAGTTCAAATCATGACCCCCCCTCCCCAGTAAACTTTCAGTACTGATCTGATAAGTGTTTTTGCTGGCCAATTGCTCAGGTGCACAATGTGGCCCCTGGGCCTCATGTTAGTGACCGTTATATCTTGTTTATTTTGTGACAGAGTGACCGTGTACAGTTTGCAATAATATACATTTATAATAACATTTTCTCTTTGTATGAGAACTGAGTCTGTTTTTTTTAATCAAAACATAATTAAAGTACCAAAGAAGCTATTGACGGATAAAGAGTGTGCATAATGAGATTACATTGATATCCATCATGAAAGTGAAATAATTAAAAGTTATTTTAATATGCTTCATAAATACTTTGTAGCACATACTAAGATTAAACAGTTTATATGAAATACGTCTGAAAAAAAAAATTGGGATATAAAGAATGGTTTAATTTGTTTAATTGTAAAAATAAATATATTTATTTATTTATTTATTTTGCGAACACCTGTTTCATCCAAAGAATATTGAAATGACTTTGTACCTTTTGTGAAAAAAAAAACAACAGGGGTAAGGGTTCCCTTTAGATTTTTTTTTTAATGAACTCACGAACTTTTTTTTAATAGCTAGTAAATAAATAAATGAAAAAAAAATAACTAACTGCATGTACATGTCATTAATCTTCGCAAAAAACAATGTTTTCAAAAAACAATACTAAAATCTAGTTCTTTTAAAAAGACAGTTATTACGCTCAAACATGCTTCGAACTAAATCAAATGAAAAACTATTTTTTTAAAATACATATTAAAAGTTCATACAGCACATGCATATGTTCTCTAGCATCACAAGATGCAATTAATTGGTAATTTATTTCTTCCTTACAATGGAACTTTTTTTTTAATAGCTAGTAAATAAATAAATGAAAAAAAAATAACTAACTGCATGTACATGTCAATCCTAACAAAATACTGAAACATGTACAACTTCAATTCAAACATTTCAAAATAGCCAGTTCTGTGTTGACCGCAGTAGAATCTGCATTTCATTGGCTGATTTGACTTGTTTAATGTTCTTGCGAACTTCCAGCAAAAATTCGAATAATGAAATGTTTCCTGCTAACTTGATGCGAACATTAAATTGGCGTGTATGTTTCTTGCGATGTTCTTGTAAACATGTTGGGTTCCTGCGAATTTGTTGCAAGCTTCCAGCAATTACTGCAATGTTTGCTGCAAGATCGCAGCTAGCGGCAATCATCTGCGAACAAGAAAATTTTCTTCTTGCGAACAATTTTGTTTGCTGTAAGCTTGCAGCAGACTTGCTACAGGCCTGCAGCAGACATATCAGTCTGGTAAGGATGTTGTTTTTCCAAGAAAGACAAGGATTCTTTGTTACATTCCTCCTTTACGTGGATATCAATCTGCTATAATAGCTAAATGAATATACTAAGACGAAGACTTGATGCTAATGATGAAGATTCATTTTCTTTTTATTTTATCAGACATGCAACCAGAGCCTATTGCTGAGGAACAGGACATCATTGACTATAGGTCGTGTTCTTTTCCTGTTTAAACTTTACTGTATTAATCTCTGGACATGTGTGAAATGTGCACTTTATTGCACTCTTAAATGCACATGGCTGATAAAACAGATTTGTATGAAGTTGATGAATGCTCTCCCAAAAAGAAAAGAAAAGAAAATGTTGGTATTTTTCCTGCTTGCAAGCCTGACGAGGAGTTTTCGAAAAGCTATATGTCAATTAGTACTGATGGAGAGGGTGTCCTAAAAATAATGCGTGTTGTAACAGTGCTGTCTACCATACAGAGTCCGTACAGAGGAAGCTTTTACTTGAAGGAGTTGTGGAAGATAAATTGTATGGGAAAAAACTTGATCTGGATAAGTGGTCGAGATGATACACTGAGACTTATAGACAGAAATGGGTCTCTGTCACACACAGTCAAGACCTCTTATGTCGTGTCAGCAATGACGGTCAACTCAAACAAGGAGACAGTTTTCTTAATCGGTTGGTCCGACAGCAAAGTGTTTATTTACAGGAATAAAATATTTGAGATACTTTTAGAATTAACGGACTGGCTGGGAAGAGGTCTACATTATACTGCAAATGGAGATCTACTGGTGAGCATGCACACACAAGATGGTGTACAGAGTAAAGTGGTGAGATACACAGGGACAACAGAGTTTCGGGAGATCCAATATGACAGTCAGGGACAACATTTGTTTGGTAGTAAAACTGGAGGTATGCTAAATCTCACTGAAAATGGCGACGGCGATATTTGTGTGGCTGCCTTTGGTTGCAATGCCGTCATTGTGGTCGATTCATCTGGGTGTTTAAGGTTCAAATATCAGGGTCACTCCTCCAATCAGAGGAAAAATGCTCGTTTTTACCATCTAATATCGCTACTGATGTCAGTAATCAAACATTGATAACTGACATTTCTAGTAACGTGATCCATATCATAGACTATGATGGTAACTTTGTTTGAAAGCTTCAAAGAAAAATAAGTTCAAAACTTTGTAATTTGAATTACATTAAAGAAATATTAAACGATCTTTTTTTTTCAATTTATCGATATATAGTTTCATGGCTTTGTATTCACAAACTTGACATAAAAGTACATCACACTTTTATTCAGTATGTGAGCACAAAGACATCGGTGAAAATTTGATATTTTCTGAAAAAGAACTTTCAATCCAATATTGAACGACTAAAAATATTATCAACGATACATTACTTTTCTGATGTTTATTTTCCCTGTACTTTTGAGGTTGGTCTAAACCTTTGATAACGAATCTCCACATGAGTGCTATAGCAGAGATGTATATTTCACTTCCTTGTTTTTCTAGATATAAAATAAATATTAAGAAAAATATACTTAATAAAAACCTTCCTTATCAATTTGGCCCCTAAGTTATCTGGAATTAATTTTTGATAGTTTTCTAAAATATTTCATACCGTGGTAAGACCTGTAAAGCACCGACATCCATGTTAATATACCTATTGAATTTTTTTTCCTGTACACCTGCTAAAATATAGAAATTAAAGCCTCTTATTCCGCCTTGTATTCATTTTCTATTTAAATTAGATAAAAGAATATCTGAGATTTAATTTCCAATGTTTAAAAGATTGAAATTCTGTTGAAAACGGTTTAAAATAAAAAAAAAAAAATGAATAGTTTTACACTATATTTCACTGCACATAAAAACACAAGAGGGTACAAAACTTTGTAACTAGAGCTAAAGATATAATTATATTCTCTACTTGTCTATAAGGTTCAATTAAATGTGAATTGAAAACTTATTTGTTTTTTTAAAACGCAAATATTTTGAATTATCCAACCCTATAAATTGTTCTTTTTCGATTCGATTGAAATATCAGAATCATTTTAATATCTTATATCAATTAAGAGGAATTGAAAACAATTTGGTGATAAAAATTCGAGACATGGTACAGTATTGAATAAAAATGATTGATCTGAAATTGAAATGATGTGCAATATCGAGTAATTAAATCCTCTTTCGGCGTGTACTTGACTAGAAAAGAGTAAAGAACTTAAAAAAACATCCGCAAATCAAGAATGTAATTAAAAGAACGATATATAGATGTACATAATTTGCAAAACGCATTCTTTTAAGATTTTGAAAATTGAGAAACATTAGTTCCATATAGTTGCATGAAACATCAAGTTGCAACTCTGTCGGAGAAAAACTTTTAGAGGAATATATTTATAAAAAGTAAGTTTCATTTTTGCCATAATTATAATAAATTTCAAAACATATATCTGCCACATTATCCTTTAGGAAATATAAGTGTAAACGTTGGTTGATGAGAAGTAATTTATTCTTTTTTTTAGTTTGAGGTCTTATTTAATGAACATAAGATGATAAGCAATAGATCAAAAAGCAGGTGTAATTGATTCATAAAATTTGAATGCGCGGTCCCGATTTTGCTGCTTCGAGGCTCTTGTCGTTTATAATGATTTTGGATTAATTGTTCAAATGATCTGCATAAAGTCAAACATAGTAATTCTGAAGTCATTATTTAAAAATAACTGTACATTTTTTTCTTAGATTTACTCACTTCTTATATCTATTCATTATTTAAAATGAATCTCGATACAAAGACTTGCTTTTTGTTCAATTAAAATAATTCCAATAAAATTCAGAAAAAGACGCAAATCGCTGCCTACACGGTTAAAGTTTTAGGAATCAATTTAAGTCCACTTAGTCTATTTTTTTAAGTACCTTATCGACTCAGAAATGCATTCATTAAGTATATGTGGTCCAACAACTAGATGGGATATCATCAGGTGAAATGTCAGTCCGAAGATGGCAGATAATATTTAGGTATCATATTCTTAGACACAAATAGCCCATCTCCAAGAGAATCTTAAACAATTAAGTCATGTTTTTTGGAGTCTCCTGCGCTAAGACGTAAAAGAGGTAATGCTGTTTTTGATTTGTTTTAACGCATTGATCATTCATGTTTAGCTTTATAAATGAACTGAATTTCCATGATTAAACATACATTTTGAAAAACAAATTTGATTGGTATTGTGTGTGTCCTATGCAATATCATGATATCTTATGTCCAAAATGTAGGCTTTTTTCCAGAACACTTAATCGGTAATTAAAGGTTTAACGATGGTTTGTGAAGCGTTTCTTTTTAACATGTATAATGATATAGCTGTGTATTTTTGAAATGGAATTAATCTCATCAAATATCTTATTTTCTATGTAACGTATTATTTGTTATTTTTAACTTAGGTTTGGTTGGTTTAGTTAATCACAAATGTGCAAACTTATTTAATTTGAATTTTTTCAGGTCTTCCAAAAAATCTTTTGGAATCCACATGGATACCAATTACACTCGTTATTAGCATATCTATATTTTTATACATATGAAGCAGAATTTGTTCAATATCTTTCACATGAAAAGAAGAAAACACTTGCTTTGATTTTTAACTCTACGTTTAAATATGTCGACGACGTATTTCCAATTAGCAATACATGTAGTTATTTCCATTTTCATGTCGACAAGATATATCCTGGTAAGCTTGAATAAAATAACATAAAGGCTGACACAAATGTTTCATATTTTGATCTTTAACTAGAAAACGACATCAATATTTATCTAACAATCAGGTTTTCTGAGAAACAGGAAGAATTTAACTTTTTAATTGTCAAATTCCCTTACCTATGCAGAAAAATACATTTGTCGCCTGCATACGGAGTTTATACTAAGTATCCCTCAGTTGACTTGATATGGAGGATCATGTTTAATGAGCAATTTCTAAACCGAGGCAATTAAGGTTTTGACAAACAAGCTGACGAAGTAGGAATATCAGCAGTATCGTTTAAAGTCATCATTTCGTAAGATCTATGGTCGATACAATGACCTTAACTTGTCAACAAATACAATTTATCATTAAGTCAAATGCTGACTGATTTTTCTTAGCGACTGTTAGGTAATTATTTACAGACTGAGTTATCCATGGATTTTTCTGTCATGTCCTGATCATGACAAGGAGCACACATCAGGTGTGAGCAGTCGGCAGGGGATGCTCACTCGTCCATGGTACCCGATCCCACATCTGATGTTTTGGATATCCGTGTTTGATCCGCTCCTTCACTTTTTGTGATGTTTAATGGTCTTATGATCTCGATCACTGTTTATTATCTCCACAAAATTCATTAGACATGTTTTATATATTTACATTTTAATATAATGCATCTACTTTTTTCTAATACGCTGTGGATTGTTTTAATGAGTCACATTTTCATTTGTTTGATAGTATGATAATTTTTGTTTTCAGTCATGGAGACATTAAGAGGAAAGCTTCTGATTTTGATTCAGATCTTTTTCCAATTGGAGACCGGAACCGGATGTGGTTTTCCTCCCAGTAATTCTGCACATGCGTAACACACAAGGGAAAGGTTTTTGCTGATTGTTCGAGTCGTGGTTTGAATACAGAAACAGCACCAGATTTTCAACTAAATGTTGTTGGCATCAATTTTGAAAATAATTCATTTAAAGAAATACCACAGAACCTTCCAAAGAGCTTGATGTACCTAGACATGTCTCATAACCATATACAATCATTAAATGAATCTTCTTTATTAAGATATAGAAAACTCAGGAATATCACTGTCTCTTGGAACAAACTTTTAAATACCTGCATTGGTACTTTTCAAAAACTCTTAAATCTTGAACATCTTGACATATCGAACAATAATATGCTGACCATTGAAGCCATTTCTAATATATCATTTGATTTAAAAAATTCACAAATTAAAACGGTGAACTTTGAAAAATTACAGTGCATCTATGGGGTCAGTCAAAATCTTAAAATATATCATGTTGAATATTTAAAATATACGAATCTACTGGAATTAAACTTAGCGTCAAACAGGATCAATAGTCTTGAAAGCGGTCTTTTAAATACACTTCCAAAATCACTCCGATTCCTGAATTTGGGAGATAACGTGTTGGGTTTTGGTCTTTACATAATGGAATTTGCTGTTCTGCATAGCTTGGAGGTACTGAACCTGAGTTATCAGTCCTCTTTCCATCAGGTGGTGATGGTGGGCGACTTTTTCGAAAACTGCAGTGACACCAGAAAATCTCAAGGGGTTCAATTGGGATCTTCTGCATTACGGAAGAACAAGGACAGTGATACCAAAACTGAGAATTCTTTTGATGAATACATGTCTGAATTTCTTGATAGTTCTACCAACTTCACCATCTACTTTCCTCCTAATTTATGGACTCTTTATTATCATGACAATTTGTATAAAATGTCCATCCCTAAAGTTCCAATGGGACCGATAAACAAATTAACACATTTATATCGCAGAGAAATATTATCTATGAATTAATTGGGCCACTAACTGGGATTCAAAATGTTCGTTTTATTGACTTTTCCAGTAACTTTTGTGGTTATATTTCGAAACATTTTTTGGAACCCTTTACTGGTATCGAGTGGTTGAATCTTTCCAATAATGCACTAGGACACGTTTTTGACGAAGATAAGAATGGAGAAATATTTTTATATCAAACCCAATTGAAGTCTTTAGATTTATCTTTCAACCGAATATACAGACTTTCAGATCATGTTTTCCAACGAAATGATCTGATGGTAAATTTAAACCTAAGTTTTAATTCTTTAAACGAATTTACAGTTCAAATCGACCATATGAAAAATCTGACAGTACTAGATCTATCTTTCAATCAGTTGACATTCGTGCGATCACATACCATACAAGTCTTAAATTCGATAGCAAAAGATAAAGATATTTATGTTAATTTGTTGGGCAACCCACTAAAGTGCTCCTGCGATAATCTGTATTTTGTAAAGTGGCTACATAATTCAAAGACAAAGTTTTTGATGTTAGAAAATGTTTCTCGTTTACACTCATAATTGTAA